TTTTTGAGCTGATTGGGTAATTGAACCGATTTCGCTGAGTGAAAGATTACAGAAAGATTACATGAAGACTACAATTAGATAACTAAACCAAAATCAGCTATTCCAGGGAATTCCAATCGATACGAATGGGGGATCGGTTGTGATTCGGAAAAGAAGTCGAGTAGAAAAAGGGGATGAGAGAAGCGATTGGGAAAGGGAAATGAGAGACAATGAGAGGGAATTGATGGCAATCGAATCGAGGAGGGGAAGCAGACTGTCGGCTAGAAGGGTGAGTTGTGCAGCAAGTGGGCAATTAAACCGGATAAATAGAACTAATCAAGAAACAAAGTCACACATTTCTTTGTTTCACTGATAAGGTCTCATAGTTGACAAATGGCTCCAATCCAGTTAGATCGTCAGGGGTTAGATCAGGTCTAGATTTGGCTTTGCTTTAAAGAGTTTAAAAAGATATGGTTTAAAAGGTATTGATCCAATTTCTGACTGATCTAAATCTGAATCTAGTCCTGAGACTTGAAAATTTGTGCAATAATTGTTAATACAATGACACAAAACTCTATTCTAACATTAAAAAACTCGTTCGAAAAGGATCTCTATTGTATCCCGAAGAGCCTAAAGTTATAAACAAGTCACGTGAAAACCTTACCGAAATCGACAAGCCTATGAAAAGAACCTGACTTCCTCTTGATGCTATCCTTAAGAGAATAGAGTTAGTGTGTTCCCGTGAGCAAGGCGTTATCTAACAAGGGAAAGGTACTGAGCCTGCCTTTTGATTCGAGACCAATTCCATCTTATAAGGTCGGTCATGGGGATCTCGAATCCGTTTTTAGTTTTTGCTAAACTCTTCGCAGGCGCGAGAAATTTGGCTTTGCACCCAAGCATTTGTGATATTTGACGAAACTCAGAAGCGTATGACTTACTTAAATGCAAATTTCATGATTTTGGTTTATTTTTAAATGCCGATTTTGCTGGTTGAATCTCTTGTAACTGTGGGTCAGGTCAACCCTTAAATTCAACTTTTTCGGGTCGGGCGAACTTTTGACCGGACCCGATCCGATCCGACCCGCCCCGATTTCCCACGTCTAGTGCACAAAGGGGTCGAATAACCTCAGTGATTGGAGTAATAATTGTGTTCTTCATTCCAGTCATTATTTCGAGAAGTAAATTAGCGGTATTGTGAGCTTGAACAATATTTTCAGGTGTACAAGTTTTCGACGCTTGCGTAGGCCGACTGCGGGTGATGCTTTTTAGCTTCTTCGAAGGATCGCAACGGTCAGTACATTTGATTAAAGTTAATTTCAAGAAAAAAAAGAAAGAGATATGGCATCCTTTCTTGCAAAGGTCTTACCCCTCAACTCCTAGCTGATTTTCAAATTCTCACTTCATCTTCTCTTTTATATTTTATATTATTAGTTCTTTAGGTTAAAGCCTTATCTGGAAAAAACGACAACATCCAGAGAAACAATAACAACATTTGTTGAACGTTATATGGGGAATGAAGCAATGAGGCAAGTGTATGAATTGATTGGTCGAGATTCGTGAATCGATTCGCGATTGGTATAGATTCGTAAAAGCCAGGACTCTTTTTGTGAAACCGAACTCAAAAGATGGAAAACCAGATTTCGAGGAAGTGATGGGTGACATTGAATTGCCCGAAGAATATAAACCGGATACGGTAAGTGCTTAGTATTATTTAAGTAAAATCATGATAAGAATATATAAAAACTTACTCATTCTTCACAGTCTCATCATAGTTGCAACAATTTTTAGAAGGATCGTTTCTATCGTTCGCCGAAACTCAGTGAAGACAAACATGTTTATCATGCGATCGCCAGTGGAAATTTTGCCGATATTATGTAAGTTTTTAAACTGGTCTAGAAGAAAATCACGACTCAAGGCAAGGAATAACATTTATTTTAGTGCCGCTGTGAATCGAGATGGAAAACCTGTAGCTGCAAAGAGGTTTTTAAAAATTGAATAATGAAAATACTTATAAGTAAACATTCAGATACAAGATTGAACAATTGAATCAAACAATTGATGGTTGTACTTGCCTCAGAAGAGAAATTCAAATTTCTCGTTCCAATCGACATGAGAATGTGAGAGATTTTAGGCATACAAAGTATAAAATTTGGCTCTAGATTGTTGAATTTTATGATGTTTTTGTGGAAAAGCCCGAAAATCCAACACACATCTGGCTTGTCACCGAAAGAATGGATCACAATTTGGAGAAATATTTTGAGTGAGTTTAAGACAATTTTCAGTTTTCAATTTTCACAATGTTAACTTTTAGACATCTCCGTCGTAACGACGAAAAATCAGAACCGATGAAAAGAGATCTCCGCCATATTGGAGCACTTCTCGCTCAATTACTTCGAGCTCTTGATTACATTCATCAACGTGGAATCATGCACAGGGTAAGATAAGATTAGAAAGATTAAAAAGTCTGTTTCCTGATCACAAGCTTTAAGATTTCCTTACCAATATTGTTTTCAGGATGTGACTCCCCGAAGCATTGGAATAAACCGAAAGGAGTTCGAGATCAAATTTCTCAATTTTGGACTTGCCACGTATTCGAATTTATCTCTTCCATAAATAACTACCAATATTTCAGAGAAACAAATCCAGAACTCGATCACTCGACAAATGTTGATACTCCTTACATCTACCGATCTCTTGAAGTCTTCATGAGAACCAAGTACAATACAGGAGTTGATATTTGGGCTGCAGCTTTAGTTGCTCTTGAAATGTTGGGAATGAAATTGTTTATGCCAACTGGAGACGATGAAGAAATCACAAAAAAGGTTTGTGAAACTGAAAATAAAACAAACTGCCATATTTCAATTACTCTTCACTTTAACCTTTTTAGATTCGAAAACGTGGAGTGGAAAACGCGGTTGACAGTATTTGGGAGGAGAAAATCGAGCCACGTTTGGATAGAGATATCGGGCCATTAAGAAGTAAATTTGTTTGCATAGAAACTTGTTACAATTTCAAATTTTAGGAGAGGACTTTAAAGATTTAATTAAAAAGATGCTTCACCAAAATCTACAACAAGGTTTCCGGGCCGATGAATGTCTCCTTCAGCCGTTTTTGCGTATTTTGAACGTGAGTCTTTTAAGTTTTTGAAAATATGGACTACAGTGAGTACTTTTAAAATTCAAAATAAAGTATTTTTTTAGGAAAAATTCCCTAAAAATTTCCAACAGCTGCTGACCACGGGATCTGATCAGGTATTTACAGAAAAAAAATAATTTAAGGCAAACTTCTCTCAGAAGTTAAATGTACCTATTTTCCTGATTTCAAACCCAAGTGAGTTAAAGATGAACTGAATAACGCAAATAAAAAGAAATCATCATCATCACGTGTCATGCACTGTTTTTTTTATCACATTGTTTAGCTAAAATATGAAGCAAAGAAGAATCAACTCGATCGTGACTTTGTTCTCCAAGAGGCTAGCAATCAATTAATCTTTGGTCATCAACCGGATTCAAGAACTCGAAGCTCTCAAGATCCATTTTTTGCCTCACTCACGGTTTCTGATTTTCTGCCTTACAATTGCTGCTACTGAAGCATTAATAGAAGGTATTCCTCTCGAGTAATTCGTTTTTTTCTTGTCTGAGGAAGGGAAATCCATCGCTCTGACGATGAAATAGCAACATTTTTAAAAAACAAATTAGTAACTATAATAATAACTCTAGATAACTCTTGGTGTCAATCTCAAATCAATTTAGTGTCATAAATGCTTTGAGTCAATAATTCTCTTGTTTTGCAATCTTTATACTCAAGGTATTATTCTCAGATCTGATTTTTATCTTCTGTCATTTCTTTTTCAATAATTGTTTCTCTCAGTCACCTGGTTACCTTTTTATTTGGTTGTAAATATTGCTTTTAATTGTAATCTCTTGTGCCAGATTTGAGCTTGAATAAGTTGGAATGATTCAAAAATATTCCAAGTCACATCTGTCTTACCTGGTTATTCCCAATTCTATCATTCTTCTGTGTGAGAGAATCAACCAAAGTTTTCACTTTTACCCAAAAAAAGATAAAAACAAAAATTCTAAACATGGTTAGTCCTTTAAAGTTTTTTGCCCTTTCCTTTCTCTTTTTCTACAGGCCGGCTTTTTCGGCTTATCTTATATAGAAAGCTCCATTCTAACGTTCAATGAAACTAAATGATTTTTCAATCTCTTGTGTCAAGGGAGATTTTTGTGGCAAAGGTTGTTACTGGACACTATCTTCGGATAGGATTTATATATTTTCATATGATCTCTATGTATATCCAGATAGTCATTATGATTTATATATTTTGCATGAGTCACACGATTGGTACATTTCATAGGTTGATAAAAGGCAAGAGACAAAGCAGAACAGGAACAGTTTTTCTGTTTGGCATGATTTGAAAAAGATTTCTACAGCCGATTTTATCAACCGTAAAACTCTCCACATTGTATATGATTGCAAAATGAAATCTTGCAAATCTTCCTGGGTTGGACACCCAGTTGGGACACGTTCTATTCCTGTTTGCTCTTCTTAGACCTCCAGATATGTATGCACCTATTTCAACGGAAATGTCACAGGTACCGCTTTTCTTTCCACTGACAATAAGTAATGCTTTTCGGTTTGTCCTCTCTTACTTGTTCTAGCAATACATAATGTGATTCTATTCTCTAAAAATCTAACAATTGTCAATAAATCTTTTCTCTTTAATAAGTACCCTTGAAACACATATTTCATCTGAGAATTTGGATCATAATTATTTCTGGTGATAAGGCTTTGAAGCTGACCCATCAAAATAGCATACTTATATGCTTTTTCTACGAAATTGTTTTCTAAATGGGTGTGACAGTTTCTACTTTATATATTCATATTTTATTCAAGACATGAGATAAAAATCAGGAATCGTAAGCGAGGCAAAAAATGGATTTTGAGAGCTTCGAGTTCTTGAAGCCGGTTGATAGCCAAAAAGTGATTGATTGCCAGCCTCTTGGAGAAAAAATTCACGATCGAGTTGATTTTGGCGTTTCTTGATACTCATTCTTCTTTGGTTCATATTTTAGCTAAACAATGTGATAAAAAAACAATGCATGACACGTGATGATGATGATTTCATTTTATTTGCGTTATTCATTTCATCTCTAACTCACATTTAAGGCCTTTAAAAAGCCGTGATTGAGGCATTCAACCGCACTCGGTCCTCGCTTTGAATTAAAGTGTTGCATCTTTTTAAGCAGATCTTTGAAATCATCTCCTAAATTGCATACCTTCTGCAAAAGTATCATTAATTTGTCTGACTTTTTAGTATACCGGTATCCGGATCCAAACGAGATTCGACTTTTATTCGCCAGGTTACTTCAAATTCATTCAAATTCTCGTTGGTTAATTGCCTCAAACTAGATTTTCTGATGAAACTGATTTATGCTTTGGTAGATTTGATTTTGTTTTAGAAACCATACATTGAAGCTTCTTTATCTTTGGCGACTTTGGATAAAGAGGCGATCAGCTTTGTCACAGCATGGCTTGGAATCTGAAACTTGGGTTTGAAATCAGGAAAATAGGTACATTTAACTTCTGAGTGAAGTTTGCCTTAAATTATTTTTATCTGTAAATACCTGATCAGATCCCGTGGTCAGCAACTGTTGCACTCCCAACAACTCAAGTATCACAAGAGCTACGGCTCGAATATCGGTTCCTGTCTTATCGAGTTGACGGCGTGTTTCCCTAATAGTTTTTATTTCGGTTTTACTCAATGAACTTATCTGGCCAATATAAAATTCAGAAGGTGATTTCAGCATTTTTCTGGTTTATTCCAATGTTTCGGAGAGTAGCTATTTATGGAAGAGATAAATTTGAATACCTGGCAAGTCCAAAATCGAGAAGTTTGATCTCGAACTCCTTTTGATTTATTCCAATGTTTCGGGGAGTGAGATCCTGAAAACAGTATTGGTAAGGAAATCTTAAAGCCTGTGATCAGGAAACAGGATTTTAATCTGCAATCAGACTTGTCTTACCCTGTGCATGATTCCACGTTAATGAATATAGTCAAGAGCCCGAAGTAATTGAGTGAGAAGTGCTCCAATAATACGAAGAACTCTCTTTACTGGATCTGATGTACCATCCTTGTGACAAAAATCTCTGATGTTGAAAATGACTAATTAACCAAGAATCTCCATCCGAAATTACTTGAAATATAATTCCAAAGTGTGATCCATTCTTTCGGTGATAAGCCAGATGTGTGTTGGATTTTCGGGCTTTTCCACAAAAGCTTCGTAATGTTTGACAATCCGAAAAGAAAACTTTCAAAATGTCGACTTTATGTCCGAAACAACTAAAATCTCTTACATTCTCATGTCGATTGAAACGAGAAATTTGAATTTCTCTTCTGAGGCGAGTATAACCATTGACAAACCATAGTCAAGAGTTAGAATATAGTTAAAAGTGCAACTTGGACCGGATCAACCCTTTGATCAAAGATAAAATTGGCTAGAATGAACTATCATTTTTTGCATGTTTTCTTTTGAAACTTATTACTCAATAAAATTATTTTTATGTTGTAAGAAAATTGAAAAGACTAGGAAAACAATTCTTTCAAATAAGGATCTGCAGTGCTTCAGAAAAAATGATTTTAGGGAAACCCTAAATTGGCAAAATGGCTATATGCCTTTCAGTAAAAGAAAGGGGGTTTTTGTTGCACAAACAAATGCACACCTCAACCTGACGAAAAATGATAAGAAATTGATTGGTTAAATCAAATCAAACCTGGAGAAATTAGAGAATTCAAATCTCATAACCTAAAAATGGAGTTGTTTCATCAACAAAGAGATCAACGACTAACAAATAAATATTTTGTTAGCTAACATTGGATAAATATTTATGTCCCATAACATTGGATAAAGGTCATTGATATCAATAAAATTTAGTAATCCAAAATTATTACACTAATCTTGAGAAATTCAAAAGCATTTGCTTTAAAATTCCTTCATCGCGAGTGTTGCTGTTTTGAATGTCTTCTGTGGGAACAGGTTCGGTTCAAGACTTTGCTAAAAATTGGGATAAAATTGAAACAAATTCTAGTTTAATATTATACATTGAAACCATACTTTTTACAAACTTACATTCATTTTTAGAAGATATGGATGTTCCAAGCATTCATATGCTCTCGGTCTTGATTGCGGGTTCACATCAAGGAGTTTGAGCAAGAGATCTTTTAGGTTTGCTTCTAAATCTGTATATCAAAAGAGTATTCCGTTAAAAAGTCAAAAATTATTCTAAATATTCACTTGTTAGACTTGAATTTCTATCGGATTCCATTCGATCAAGTGCCGTATCAATTTCTGCCTCCAATCTTCCCGGTCTCGGCCTTTCCAATGATAAACAATTTTGAAAGCTGAATGTGAAGATATATTGACTTTTTAAGTATCTCATACATGTCTTGATACTTCGTATTTGGAAGTCCGATCACATCGAGAATTCGTTGTTTGACTAATTCAGTGGGAGGCTGAAAGTTTAAATTGCAGTTGGATTATTGAATTGCAGCTTACCCCATCAACTAATGGTGGCTTCATCAATTTACATCCAAGCATTTCCATTCCGACAAGACCCATCGCCCAAATATCAACTGAAAGGCCAGTGCTTTACAAATTTAAACAGCTATAATTCTTCAGTTTAAATTGATTTTACCTCCACAATCGTATTTTCTCTCAAGAATCACTTCCAAAGGTTGATAGATTCGTGGAGTAGGAACAAATCGAGTATGATCCAATTGAGCGTTTATTTGGCTAAAACTCTTGTATTACACAATCATTGTTATTGATTAAAACATTTCAAAACACGATTTACTTCAAAATCTAATAAAGTAATTCTTAACTCTGAAATTTCTCTCACCCGCACCCTTCCAAATCGAGCAATTTGATCACAAATCTTTCATTTTTCATTCCGATGTTCTCTGGCCTTACATCCTAAAGATAAAGTTACATTTAAAATCTTAATTTTTAAAATTCTGATATTACATAGTTTTTATGTGTCCATTTTGCTTTCTTACTCGATGCATGACTCCTCTCTGATAAAGAAAATCGAGTGCACGAAACATTTGAACAAAAAGAGCCGAAACATTTCGATGATCACGCAATTTATTCCCTGTTTGAAGGTGCCTAAAAAGTTGAACTCTTCAGTTTTTTCAAAAAGCTTATTCTTAGATCAAAATCTAAATACTGACTCAAAATAAACATCAAGCGTCTGATCCATTCGTTCTGTTATGATCCAAACAAATTTGAGTGATCGATTCAATCCTTCTTCGTAAAATGAGTCCATCATAGTGACAATCTAAAATAACAATTTGCTATAATAAGAAAAAAGATTAGAATATTATACATATACTCACATTTGGGTGAATAAGATATTGAGTGTTCTGTATTTCTTGCAGCAATTGGGTAGGGGTAAAAGTGCTATGTGTTTGGGTTGTAAGAGAAACGATATCATATCTAAACGGGTTTTTAATTTATAAAAGCTGAAAACTTATATCTCATATCGAGAAACATTTTTTCTTTGATGTCACATTACAAACCTTTTCATCGCCACTTTTTCACCTTTTCCCCTTTCTCCATCTTTCCGAAAGACACCAGCTCTGAATGGGATTTTTTCCTTTGAGACATCACAATGCCACTTTAAAAGACCATTAAGAATTAGTTTTAACCAAAAATATTGTTGTTTTCTGTACTTTCAAATATACTCACACAACAATTGCTTGTGAACCTGCTCCAATTATATGGAAAGCCGTTGGCGGAATTTGCTCTTTTCGATGATCGGAATCTTGCTGAAAACTTTGACTTGCATCATCAATGTTTAGTTATGCAACCTTTCTTTTAACTTTTAGAAAATTTTAAACATCTTCGAACTATAGAACAAACTTGATCCGGTGAATATTCAAGCGGGATTTGTGCTGTAATTGTGGTCATTTCATTGTTTTCTTCAATCCAACAGATATTCACCGTCTGTGAATTATTCGCCACAGCCCCACAGCGACATACGCTAAATATGCGTTCGTCAAAAAATACAAAATCCAGTTTAAAATAAAAACAAGGTTTTTCGTGTTCCATGCTTTTCTTTCGTGACAAACCCATCGGTTCGCACTTTCTTCCCCACAAAATCCCCTGATCGAAAAAGCAAGATCGTTCAATTCATACCTTCTCCATATGCTCCTTGCCCATTCGTTGAACAAATGTTGTTTTCGTTTTCTCTGGATAAGGGCTTTAACCTAAAAAACTAATAATATAAAATATAAAAGAGGAGATGAAAGGAGAATTTGAAAATCAGCTAGGAGGTGAGGGGTAAAACTTTCGCAAGAAAGGGATGTCATATCTCTTTCTTTTTTTTCTTGAATTTAACTTTAGTCCCAAAGGGCTATAGGAATTCTGCTAACAATAAACCTAAGTTAGTCAAATGCACAGAATATTATTTTGTAGACGAACAAGGAAAAAGTTTAACCGAGTTAAGTTTTTATGGAGAGTCACAAATTGAATCTTGTGCATTTGGTTTACTGACTCAACAACTGTATTCTATTTTGCGCCGTGTTTTACGTCGATTGTAGTTTGTGATTTAAAAAGGAGAAAATGTTCGAACTTAGCTTATCCTGGCTACACTATAAACCTTACTTACCTAACTCACAGCAAAATGAACACACAATAATATTTTGTTATTGAAGCTCAAAAGGCGCAATAAAATGCAGGCTTTTGCGCTGGCGCGGAAGAACAAAACAGTAGTTTTTTCCCTTATGCGTGTGGCCGAGCCCAAGGCGCTACAGACCGATCTGGACCCAAAGAGGGGGTTTTCACAAAAACTCACAACAAAATGTACACAAAATCATATTTTGTTCTTGAAGCGCAAAACACCTAACCCAAAAAACAAAACACCTAACCCAACACATTCTGTTCTATCATCAAATCCAATTGGTTTCATCAATTCTTTTTGGTTTTGATCATCTGTAGGCATGAAAGGGAGTGAAGAGATGAATTGATTTGTCTAGGTTATTATATTTGAGAAGTTTTAAATTCCAAAAAAAAGAAAACTTACTCAACTATTCGGTTTGGAAGTATGCAACTTCACAAATTCCCATTTACTTCTAGTTATTTATTTAAAATAACCTCTAAAATAACCAGAATTTGCATGGTTTATGTAGAATTCTTAGGACTACCATATCTCCGGACAAACTTCTCCAAAATAAGCGTTCTCTGGGTGAAAACTGCCTAAACGCCCGCTCTCTGGCATACAGTCGGCTCTGTTTGGTTCAATCAACCATGAAATGCATTTCTACAAATTAGCTCGCTTTTTTGCAGTATTTTACTCGTTGTTTGAACTACGAAATTTCCCTTTACTCCTCTTTACCTATTTCACCATTAAAATAGATAGAATAGAAACCAAAGATAGCTATGCCAGAGAGTGGGCGTTTAGGCAGTTTTCACTCAGAGAACGCTTATCTTAGAGATATTTGTCCGCAGGTCGGCGCGAAAGTCATCACCAAGGAGTGTTTTTCTAATTGTTTTAAACATGAAATTTGCTGAAGCTTTAAGGCTTAACTATTTTAAAGTTTCCTCTGTATATTTTGAAAGAAAGAAGAACTTTAGTGATGGAACACGGATTTACATGCCATGTAAAAATAAGTCAACTTCAATCCGGCCGTTCTCAGCTATTTTACCACAAAAGATTCTTAAAATTGAATACTTGGTCACCTTAAGAATTCTACAAAAAACCGGAACATTTTAGTTATTATTATGGTAAAATAGGTGAAAGGAAAAACAAAATAACAATAAACGAGAAAATCTTCTTTTAGAAAAGCTTACTTTCTGCGTTTGTTTGAGGAGATCCAAAACTTCAGAAGCTGGTGGACGATGAATACGTTGAAAATTAGTACATCTGATAGATGGATTCTTAAGATATAAAAGAAAGTCTTAAATACAAACTTCAAGATGATTTTTTGAATTTCTGATTGACATTCAGGTGGTTCGATTTCAGTAACACGTTTGAGTGCAATATCAAACAATAATTGCTCACGATCAAAAAAACACTCCAGATACCTCATCGTTATCATACACTCCAGGTATCTCGTAGTTTGTGAAAATGGTTCTAAAACAATGAGAATGTTGTTTTGAGAACTTATAAAGATCTCAAAGGAGGTCACTATTTAAACATGAAGACCTCCTTTCGATGATTTCCCATATAGCAAGTCCCAAACTGTAGACATCATTTCGATGGGAATTCTGGAATGGAAATATATTATCATTGGATAGAAATGAATGTAAAACTAACTGATACATCAGCCTCTATCAATTGTTCATAAACATTTCGTTGTACCCCATCCTCCTTCATATTAGGTGGACTCATATATCGTGGTGTTCCAATAAGCCTCCCCGTAACAGTTCCATCTCCCACTACTTTCGCCAATCCGAAATCACCAATCTTCAACTGGTATTCATTGGTCACAAAAATGCTATAAATGAATTGAACCTCGACATTTATACCACTGAATATTACTTGTCTGGTTTGATATCTCGATGTACCAATTTGTGTTTCTGATGCATGTGATCAATGGCATCAAATAATTGGATTCCCCATGTGAGAACTGTGTTCATTGAATATGTAATTGTTGGATCAAGGATCACTAAACTCTAAGATATAACAATACCAGTCCAATCCTAGCCTTTCTTGAGTGGTCCCTTCTGACAATATTCCATTACAATTCCCACTCTTTTCCCTTCTTCTATATGTCGATACAATCGGACAACATTTCCATGATAGATCTTCTTCAAAGATTCACATTCATTTTTGAAGATCTTCAATAAGATCTTCAATTCTTTATCATCTTTTGGCTGCATATATTTGATGACAGCTGGGCTAAACAAAGAAGCTTATGGTACAATACAACCTCTACAAAAGACTAAATATCGAGCATAGTAATGAATAGATCAAAAATAACCAACGGTTCGTGTCCAATCAATTTATACACTATTCCATATGCTCCATTCCCAATAATCTCTCCCAATACAAATTGTTCAGATGTTGTCATTGTCAGATGTCAGTTTTCTCACAGATAAGGCTTTGACCTAAAGAACTAATAATGTAAAATCTAAAAGAAAAGATGAAATGAGAATTCGAAAAGCAGTTGGAATATGAGGGCAAAAATTTTGCAAGAAAGTGATGTCTTATCTCTTTCTTTTCTCCACTTTTTTCTCATTTTTATTGATTCTAGGTTTTCGAAAAAGGAGAGGAATATGATAACCGAAAACTGAAGCTTATTGGTTCATTCGCACAAGCGTTCAGGCATTTCTCATTAGCCACCCTTTAGATGCCCTTACCTGGCCGGTCAGATGATCTGAGTATTTATATTTTATCTTTTCAGAAGCAATTTTTCTATACAGCTAATTGTTGTGCCTAGACTAAACAGCTAAGCAGAAGCTGAAGATTCCGCACTGAACTGAGCATTAATGATTAGTGGCATTTATGATTTGGCAAAGTTTATTTGCTTTTAAAGCCTTGGGTGAAGACATATCGAAGAGCCGTGGTTAAAGAATCAATGTACAAAGAACCAAAATTGAATTTAAATTTATATTGCTGATTACAGGGTGTCCCAGAATTATGGTAACCGGCTCTGCCCCGCTGCTTTGCCCATTTTTGAGTTTTGAGTTGCCTGTGATTTAGCTTTTTTTGGTTTATTCTCTTTTTTGAATGTTTTGTTAATGTTTACATCAAAATCTGATTTTAAATTTAGAGGGACGAAGCCTTCTGCTCATCGTAACTCGATCATTCAACTTCACAAAGGCGGGACCCGAGCGATTGATATTTCAAAGCGATTGAAAGTCTCGAAGAAGCTGGTTTTGACGACTATTGCAAGATTCAAGGAACTGAGCACCAATTTCGATCGGAAAGGACGAGGTAACAAACAATCTGCTATCAACAAAGCCATCATCAAGAAGGTGCGCGACCGTGTCCGTTTGAATCCGTTCCGTTCAGTAAGAAAAATGGCCTCACAACTGAAAGTCTCAAAAAGCTCGATGGGTCGAATCTTGAGAAATCACTTGCACTTCAAAGCCTATAAATTGAGAAAAGCTCAACTTCTTATGGATGCGGTGAAAAAGAAGCGGGAGCAACGAGCTAAGGATATTCGACAACGCTTCAACGGGATCGATCATCGCATTTCAATCCCGGATCTCAATCCAATGGATTTCTCTGTATGGAGTGTTTTGGAGTCCCAGGCTTGCGCAAAATCACATAAAACAGTGGAATCGTTGAAGAAAGCGCTTCAAAAAGCGTGGGAGGCGATCAATCCACAATACCTTCTCGCCACCGTCGACGCTTTTCCAAAACGTTTACAGGCTTGCATCGACGCTAAGGGATCTCACTTTGAAAAAAATTGAATTATTCTGTTGAATAGTGTTAAAAGAATAAATTTATTCGTTTACTTTTCGTTCTTGGTCAATTTTGGCTTTCTAGTCCCGCTCCTTACAGGTTACCGTAATTCTGGGACACCCTGTAGAATTGGCCGAGTCAACAAAAAATATGATTTGGCTGCACTTGAAAAAAAGTCGAGGTCTTGAACAAAGCCTTATCTCGCGCTTTTATTCACTCGCCATATCAAATTGCCAGATTTGATCCTGAACCTGTCTTTTTTCAACGATACACTTAGGAGACCCCATCTATTTGTTTTAGTGTGGGAATGAATCATCGTATCTACCCATTCATGTCACAATATTACTTAATGTAGGCGTAGCTTTTCAATTTGGTGTATATTGTTATTGTTCCTATGGCAGAAACAACTCAAAAGTAAAGTTATCCTTAGCAAAAAGCACTAAAAATGTTTTTGAAGGCGAAGTTGTCATGTATTAGACGTTTTGTCCTTTCAGCGACGAAAATTACACGGTCTTAAAATGGTCTTAAAATGAATTGAGAATTTAGAAGAGGAAAG